TGTTCCTCTCGTGTCAAAGCAATCTCCTGGCTCAAGGAGGTTCACGGCACACAATCTTGAGGTCCAAATGGGGCAGAGCTCCACTCTTTCCTCTTCTCTGCTGCTGATTGTGAAATCCCCGCTTTCTGCTTCTGGAGAATTGATTTTATACTAAGCAGGATGCTAGTCACAAGGAAACCTGTGAAGAATGATTCACAGCTGAATCATATAGTTTAATCAATATCTTCCCCCACCTTCTTACCCAGACCCTTTAGGAAAACAAAGCACATTTGATGGGAGTAACAAGGGTCATGCTTAGAAGGATCATCATTAAGGAATTAGCTTTATTCCACCATGTAATTGAATTGGAGCCAATTTCTCCTCTGACGTGTCAGAATTCACTTAACAACAACTGAGTTGAAAGTCAAGGTCGAGAGAAGACTTTTGGCACAATGGAGTGTGTTTCACAAAAATGGGCTCAAGGTATCCTGAATAACTAATATAAACTTTCCCAGGAGCTCCCCCACGTTGGTCTATAGCTTAGAAAGACAACATTAATGACAAAATGTAACTCCAAGAGTTTACAGGCAATTTGTGTATTTCCTTGTCCACACGTTATCCAAAGTCCTTCCAATATAGGAACATTTTTACACACCGATCCCATCCATTTCCCTTGCAGTACTGGCCAGCGCTATATTGTTTCCTTGGGACTTCCTTCTACAAGAATCCAGTGTGACATTCTTCATCTGTTGCTTTCTATTTTAAGTAACTGAGGATACATAATAAAATATTCTAATTTTAGAAATCATGTATCCCTCTGATCAACCAACTCTTTTTTTTTAAATCATTTTATTAGGGGCTCACAACTCTCATCACAATCCATACACACATCAATTGTGTAAAGTGCATTCGTACATTCATTGCCCTCATCATTCTCAGAACATTTCCTCTCCACTTCTGAATGTCATTTTCATAATTTTTAGTGAGATCAAAGGTACGCTCCTTGTCCAGTGTCTTTTCTTTAAGTCTTTCCCCCTTCCTCTTATTGGAATGTAATTTATAGAGCAGGGGTTTGGCACTCATGGGGAGGTTTGGGGGTCTTCACAGAAGACCGTGACGCTGTTTCGGCAGGCCACTGCGAAGCTTGCTAGCATAGCGCTCACCTTGTGGCACTGTCGGAGAACGTGCAATGCAAGGGCATGGTTTTCTTGGCAGTGACCTTCAAAGTCCTCACTCAGCTCGGCCTTCATAACTCTTTCACAGGACTATGTTCTTGCTGCTGTACATCAAACATCTCCGGTTTGTGATTCATTTTGATCATTGGTTTTTGTTGTGCATGTGCTGAAACCACTCTGATTTTGCCTTCATGTTCTTGCTGAGATTTTGCTCCAACTATACAGCAAAGCGTAATGTAAACTATGTAATTGAAAATATACTCTGGTATTGAAAGGATACTCGTGCTCACATTGTGCCTCTTCATCCTTCTTTCTGATGAATTGTTCAGTATTTTTATCCAGAGACACGTTACTCTTAGCACATTGGGCACAGAAGGTTATCTTTAAAATCCCCTCTAAATCTTCCAAATTAATGTTCTGTGTAGTGAGCACCTGCCAGCTTTGATACAGTTATGGGATTAGACATTTTTGAATGATTTTTGACTCTGAATGTGGTTTTCATGCTGTTACTGAATCTGGCTGTATTTCAGCTCCAACATCTTCCATTTCATAGAGGATTTTCTGTGAACCTAATGAGTGTTTTCATCTAATTTCATAATTATCATACTCGAACTGTCCTTTATTAGTTGTTGGCACTTCATGGCACATAAAATTTCTGTCCTGTAATTGACTTTAACCAAGGTAGGACTAAATCACAGTGTTTCTTTCGAAGTGGGCAACCATTCACTGTGCCTCTTCTTTGATAAAATAAATAAAAGATGTTTAAGTTCAGCATGTTGAATTAGATGCCAAGAGGAGGCTAAATACAGTCAATATCTATATATTGCAACAGATTATTGTGATATTATTTAGTGGGGGGAAAAAACTGAGATAAAACTCAAACAGAAAGTGTTAAGAAATGAGCACTAAGCATAATTGGCAGTAATATCTCACATATAACATCAGTATTGTCTCTCAAAAATATTATCATATGTAATCGTGGCACATTCATCTTGATCTATTTCATTAAACAGATCGATCTTCATCTTTCTATCTCTCTCACTATTTTTAATATAAACTTCTAATGTTTTCTCTTAGTAATTTCTCAAAAACTATTGAATAAATTAAAATTGACTTATATATTTTAGTATAAACAATGAAATACTCATTCATCTATTTGAATATAAATACTTAGATGAAATTGGGAACATCCACCACTACTTTATTGTGGCTTAAGCATTTTATTGCATGTATGCCATCTCTTTTCTAGATGGTAGGTTGTGCAATGGGCTGTTAGCTATAAGGTCAGCAGCTTGAATCCACCAGACGCTCCATGAGAGAATGGTAAAACTTTCTGGTACCATACAAGTCATCCAAAGGGCAGTGCCAGTCTGTGCCATAGGCTCTCTGTTAGTGCAAGGAATGGGAGGGCAGTGAGTTTGGTTGGATCAGAACTAATGTCTACCACAGAGCAAGTGTCACCTGACTTGTTCACATTCTGCTCAGGAGGACTATCTCTTCTTACTCAATTTTATTCCTGTAAAAACTCCAACTAACATAATTTAAGCATTCAGTTAAGCACTCAGGAACTCACCCAATGGTTATCATTTCCCAGTCACTCAGTAATTCTGTCAGAGAAAAACTTGGGAATTCATTTCCTTAAATAATATAGATTAGAAAACACTGCGGGTATATCCTACTTTGTAAGAGTGGATATTATGTGTTTAAATTGATTCATGACACCCAATATTAATAACATCAATGTTTCAATTAACTCTCACTTACAGTAACAAATATTTAGTGTTTTTGTATGTTTAGAACAAAGTACTTCTTCTCAAAACTGGTATCTGATCCGGAAATTGCTATGCATACAGCATTGCAATAAGTACTGAGAAATTAATAATAAATATGTATAGGCTTCCAGAAAGAATGTTCTCTAATTACTGGATCAAGTAATCAAAATGACATTTATAGCAAAAGGCACAGTCAATATTATTGTTTTGATATTCGGTACTCCATACCTAGACATGACTGCTAAGAAGAGGAGGTTGATTATTTTTCTAATTTCCAGATTAAATTAATTTACACTCCGTTATGCAAGCCCCCAAAACACTTTAACTTATCATACCGAGCTACAGAAGCATTTGCAAAACAGTGTTAAAAGGGCCATAAACATAGCTGGTAAATAATAGAAGGAATGGACAATTTGCAGTAAACATTTAAAGGTCATAATCTAACATATCTTTTGGGATCAACATATGGTAGGAAGTTGCTGGAATTCTGTGATAAAAGAGTTATCATGAATAGCCATTTTGTTATGTGTGTGAAATGTGTCAAGAAATGGGTATGCTAAATTTTTTGAAAATATATGAGATGAACCACACCTAGAGAAATTCAATAATTATAAAATATCAGGTGTATGAAAACAGCAGATTATAAATTTTACTTGTAGAATTATTTAAATTGAACCCCAGTTTTTTTATTTATGAGCTGTGTGAACATCTGCAAGTTACTTTAATACTTTGATCCTGCGATGTAACACATAAAATAAGGTAAAAATAAAGTTTATAATGTCCTGCTATAATTAAAACTAGACCATTCATGCTCAAGAAAGTAGAGTTTTTGTTATTATCTTTTATTATAACAAAACAAATAATAATACTTACGAAAGCCATAAATTCAGTGCATTATTTCACACAACTTAAGATCGGGAAGCCCTGGTAATGCGATGATGGAGACATTAACTACTGATGGAAAGATGAGTGATTCAAACCCATTCTATGGAAGAAACAATCGGGTTTTCTGCTCCCGGCGAGATTACAGCCTATGAAACACCGATGGCGGTTCTGCTTGATTCATATGGTTGCCATATATTGTAATGGACTTCAAAGCATTACTCAATTCTAATAAAACATCTAGTCTTATTTAAAGAAGTGTACTAAAATATGATATTGCAGAAATTGTATTGCTAACATACAATAACAGCCTTTTTTTGTAATCTGTAGCAATGCTAAAATGGAACACCTTTCTCATTCTACACAGGAGTAAATTCAGGCCCATTGAGATGATGTATTTTATATATGGTAACACATGTACTAACTTGAATTTGAAGCAGAAACCATCAGCAATAACATACTATGTCTTTCTAATAGAATCCATCTTTTAATAATTGTGGATAAATGTTAATATCCCCTTTCTTCTATTTTCATGTAAATTTAAGTCCATAATTTCTCCTTACATTGTCATAATATAGTTTAACATAGTACAAAAATAAACATAATGAAGCAGTTCAACATAATAAACTAAGACAATAAGATAACTGATCTCTACACCTGCAGTTTCTCTGCATTTGTTTGTATCCATACCTCTTTATTGAAGATCTACTTCACATTTGACACAGCTGTATGTAGTAGAAATACAGATGTCCCCCTGTCTCTGATTCCATGTAGAAATTACTCTAGTGAGGAAGAGAATAAAAATAATTATTAATTATGTGAGGTTATCATGAGATAAAGAAAGAAGAATTGAGCATGGTCCATTGAGTGGGAGATTTACAGAGGAAGTATAAATGGAGTGGTGAGTTGTCATAGGTCAAACTGAATTCATGCAGAAATGTGATGACAGTGAGCCAACAAGCCATCTGAGAAACACTATTCAAGGAAAAGGAAAGCTCAAGGCCAGGCATGTATGTGCTCTGCCGTGAGGAGCAGCAAGGAGGGCTACCCGACAGAATTAAGGAGAGAGGGGGAAATGATAAATTAGCAGTGTCATAATAAAGACTAGATCTAAAATAGACATAGGATCTTTAAGGCCCAAATAATGATTTTGACTATCTGCTTTCATTTCTTTCTTTCTTTTTTTTCTTGTTGGGAGTGCACCGCTCCAGGAAGTACTGCAATACCAGGTCGATGCGCGGAGTGGACGGAGCAAGCTCCTATTCCATCTCCTAGTTCCAAAAATCCATTTAATATATTGTCCTCAGATAGAGGACGTATCAGATATTAAACTGATAAGAACAAAGCATCACCATCAGAGTGGCTAACAGGGATATGTTGTTTATCGGTGTTGTTGGTTGTTACATAGGTCTGGAGAGTAGTATTTCAAGTCAACATTTTATTAGGACCATGTTTTTTGAAAAGGCTGGAAGCAAACAACCCTTCTTGTATCTCCCAGATTCCCATAGTCCCAGGTGTTTCTTGGCTAGCGATGTAGCATAATTCTATTGCCACAAGGTGGTGTGACCCTTGTGTCTCCTTTTTTTATTAAAACATGAATTACTTGGGATCAGGACCCACCTTACACATCTTCAAGGTTAATGCTAGCATGCAGAGTCATATTGACAGGTACTAGGGCTTAGGACAGGAACCTTGAAAGTGTAGTGGTTCGCACTGTGCTACTAATAGCAAAGTCAGCACTTCAAAACTTGGATACTCTGCGAGATACACCCTTAAAGAATCACCCTCTTGGAAGCTGACAGGGGCAGTTCTGCTCTGTCACTACGAGTTGGCACAAACTCTATTTTATTGTTGTTCTTGTTTTTTGTTTTTTTTGGTTGCTTTGTTTTGCTCTGCCTTATTTTTGTGCTTGTTATTGTCTCTGCATGTCTATCTAGAGATGACAGGCTGAATAAACTATCCAGAGGAGAAAACAATAGGACCAATGGATTCTGGGGGTAAATGGGAGAGTAGTGGGCAGGGGGAAAGGACATAGATGTTAACAAACCCAGGGACAAGGGTACAACAAGTGATCTAAAAGAGGGTGTAAGATGACTGGT